CAGTTACTTTCTATTCAACCATCACGAATACCTGATGTTAGGTTTTCCAGCACCCTGAACTCACTGCTTCCTAAATAAGGCTTGGACTGAACTTGTTCAAGTTCTGCCGGTCTAGCCTGCCTTTAGTCTTGGTGCCCCTGCCATTGACTTCTTCACACCCCACATGTGTCGCTGTGTTTGGCTGCATCTGACAGAAGACCAGTTCACGTAGACTTCACTCTGAAGGCAATTCATTATGACCTAATCAGAAGCCCAGAGGTGGAGCTGGCTTCCGGGTAGAGGGATGACAACCCACATCTCTGTTTCTTTCCTTCCTCCCTTTCATCCACATCCAGCGGATCCCCTCACACAGTAGGGTGCTCCAGAGGGTGCCATTTGCAAGGCGAGGAGACGAGTGATTTTCGATCCTCTCTGGGTTTCAGAGTTTTCTGAGGAGTCTGAAAATCTACTTGTTTCCAGAATTTCACCTCAGGTATGGTTTTGTATGGTACAGAGCTCGGCAGCCCTAGGTGGTTCTAATGCACAGATAGATGGAGACCCCCTGACTGAAATTAATGAGAAGGAAGAAAGATGCCATTCTCCTCCTCTGAGCTGCCCTGCCTCGGCCATGTATCACTTCCACGTACAGGAAAGTCTGTTAATGAGCGCTCTCTCCTTTGTCCTGGTCAGCTTGTCTTAACTCTGTGCCAATACAACGATGCCTCGACGTCCGTGCTTTCATCATAATCCCATCACCTGACGTGGTAAAGCCCCCTCTTACGCTTCCTGAGCTATTTTTGCCCTGTTCTCTATCATAAAATATTTAGAATTGGCTTGTTCTAGGATAAAACTCATATGAAGTTGTATTCAATACATAAGAAGTATTGTATGTATTTGGTACAAATGAAGTTCTAGTGAGTGTGTATTGTTTTGGTTTTTTTCATCACTGGTGTTTGGGTAATATTGTTGGTATATTGGGTATTTATTATTATACTTTAATATTTTTTTCTTGATTTATATCAAAGTTCTTTAATGTCTTTCAGTAACCTGTTGTAATTTTTAAAAGTAAATGCTGTGAGCGATTATAAGGAACCCTGCTGGGGTTTGATTACTTATTGCGCTGCTAAGTGTAGGGTCTGTAGTTCAAAACCATCAGTTGTTCCTCAGGAGACTGGCTGGTCTTTTTACTTCCCTAAAGAGTTACAGTCTTGGAAGCTCACAGGGGAAGTTCTATGAGTCAGCATTGACTCAGTGATAGTGAGGTTTTTTTGTAGTAAGAGATTGTTAGTTATGATTTTTCTCATTTTATGGATGGAGAAACAGATTCAGTAACATCCCCAGTGTAATATCCCTTATTTCTTAATTTTCTAAATCTTCTATCCTTGTACCAAATCAATGTTTGGTTACTTGTATTATTTCACTTCAAAGTGAGGTGTGTATTTTGGACCAGTTTAACCTGATTTCAAATGGTGTAGCGCTAGACAGTCCCAGGTGGTTCTAATGCACAAATAGATGTAAAATATGCCCTTGTGTTTCCCTTTTCTCTAGCTAGATTATAGGTTCCCAGACTTATTTGGCCCTTCTCCCCATCCCCTCTTCAGAAAAACAAAACCAAACAGCTCAGATCACCCTCAACCCCCAATTAAAACTTTTGTACCGTAACCCACAATACAGGATAAAGTGTACGTATTGGCTTTGAAGCCTCCCTGGATTGTTCTGTTGCCCCTAGGGGGTGGCATTGCACACTTTGGTAAACACTGCTGTAGATGGTGTTTGTTTTGCCAGTCTTCACTTAAGTGTTCATTATTCATACTGGTTCAAAATTTTACCTACATCCTGTTCAGTTTTCCTTATTAGCCCTGCCCTGGTTGTGGAAATGGCCATTCTTAAAATCAGCCACTCTTAAAATCATTGCAATTACTTTGGGAATCAGCCTCCCCTAGCCCTTTCTCTGCGTTTTCATGAACACCCTCCTCTCCACATGACAGTTTTCTGAAGATTCTGCTTTTCTTTATTCTGTTTTCTAAAAATGCACTGTTCCTCCCCATTCGATGACAACTCATCCCTCTCTGTGAGGGGGTATCTCATCTGGGAAGTTTCCTCTGAGCTCTTCCTATCTCGCAGCCATAACCTCTTCCTTCTGTTCCCATAAGTCTTATTAAAAGAAACTTACCACGCATACTGTCATTGCCTCTGTGCCTGCCAACCCCCTGCTGTGCAGAGGGCTTCCCTGTCTCACACGGTTGCTCCTGAACTCTGTTCCAAGGTAGGAAAGAGGCAAGGAGCTGGAAAGAAGGTATATACCTGAGGTTCATAGGTGTCAAAACACAGCAGGTATTAAGGCTGTATTTCATTTTTATGTTTTGATTGAAGAGGTGGCTTGATTGGGTCTTGGTTAGCATTACTAATAGGCCCTTTTGTTTCATGTCTTTTCAAGGGACAAAGCAACACTTGAGACTACAGAGCCAACTGCTCCTAAGCCAGTCATGTCTGAGGGACCATCAGTCTGGGGACAACTGATACAGGAAGCCTCCAGGGACTCCCGGGTGGGGCCGTTGGAAATACAGGAACGACACACAGAACCAGAGAGAGACCCTCAGAAGGAACAGCTCCCTGGAAAAATGAGCCTTGACTCTGATGACTTGGTGACAGGTGGTGCTTGTTCAAGGACTCTACAGGACCAAGTCTCTCCAGAACATACTCTTCACGATGGGGACTCACAAGGACTAGCTAAACAGGGTATGGCTCACGAAGAGAGCGATCCCTATATTTGCAGGGAATGTGGGAAAGTGTTTCACACCAGACACTTGCTAACTCAACATGAGCAGATTCACTCTGGAGTGAAGCCCTTTGAGTGCACAGAGTGTGGGAAAACGTTTAGCAAGAGCACAACCCTCCTTCAGCACCATGTCATCCACACCGGGGAGAAGCCCTATGAGTGCACAGAGTGTGGGAAGGCCTTCAACCAAAGGGCACACCTTACCCAGCACCAGCGGATCCACACCGGGGAGAAGCCCTATGTGTGCACTGAATGTGGAAGAGCCTTCACCCACCATTCCACTTTTGTCCTGCATAAGCGGAGCCACACAGGAGAAAAACCTTTTGAGTGCAAGGAGTGTGGGAAAGCCTTTCGTGATCGGCCAGGCTTCCTAAGGCATTACACCATCCATACTGGAGGGAAGCCCTACGAGTGCAGTGAATGTGGGAAGGCCTTCAACCACAGGTTCCAAATTGTACGGCACCAGCGGATTCACTCTGAAAAGAAGCACTTTGAGTGTATCGAGTGTGGGAAGACCTTTAACTACAGGTCTTATCTGGCACAGCACCAGCGGATCCACACCGGGGAGAAGCCCTATGAGTGCACAGAGTGTGGGAAGGCCTTCAACCAAAGGGCACACCTTACTCAGCACCAGCGGATCCACACCGGGGAGAAGCCCTACGAGTGCAGCGAATGTGGAAGGACCTTTGCGCACCTCTCCACTTTTGTCCTGCATAAGAGGAGTCACACCGGGGAAAAGCCCTTCGCCTGCAAGGAGTGTGGGAAAGCCTTTCGTGATCGGCCAGCCTTATTTCGTCACTACAGCATCCACACCGGAGAGAAGCCCTATGAGTGCATTGAGTGTGGGAAGGCCTTCAACCGAAAGTCACACCTCACTCAGCACCAAAGGGTTCACACAGGGAGAAGCCTAATCAGTGTGGCAGATGTAGGAAAACCTCTCAAGAGTGAGCAGGCCTCAGTCAAAATGGAAGGATTGCTATTGGGAACAGACTCTTTAAATGTAACTACTGAGGCAAATCTTTGGCCAGAGGACTCATCTTACTCAGGTTCTGTTAATTCGTGACAAAGGAAAAGTTCCCAAGCATTCTGTCATGCACCATTACTCCTAATCTAAGAGTCCTACTAGAACTTGACCGACCTGAAGTCTGACTATACACCTGAACGTTTATCCAGGAGAGAGACCTTGTGGACACTGTGCAACGAGGAAAACGTTCCGCCATGTCTCTGTTCAGGCATTCTGCAATGCTATCTCAGGAACATGTAAACCAATAATGAGGAAGCAGAGGCACTATGGAAAAGAAAGGGAAACACCTCATTTTTCGGAGTTCTCAGGCATGCCTGTTACAGTGTGTCAGTGATGCCTTCTTTGAGGATAAAGGGTTTCATCCCTATTATACTTCCACTGCTCGCAAGCCAGTGGTGCTTATCAGTTGGAGGCAGGTCTGACAATTTTGTCAAAATACTTTTTTGCTTTGCAACATTTTTGTACCCTTAGATACATATATCTTTATGATAAATGTGAAGGCTTAAGTTGTGCAGTAGCTTTTATTTAAAGAGATAAAGATACACATACAAATGGCCAGATTGTAAGGACACAAAAGTTTCTTCAAGTAGTTAAAATTGCCTAACATTCATTTTTTTTCAAAATCCCGATAGTGGGGTGTTTTGCCCCTTTCTGTAGAAGGGGGTGACAGTATAGCCCTTCCCAGACGACCAGGCCTTCTTTTTTCACTGAGATTTTAAAACGTCCTGTAGGAACACTTCTCCGAGTCTGTCTTTGGCCTTTTGTAGAGATTGTACTACAACCCAAACAAAGCATATAGCTAAGTTAAAGGGTCATGATAAACTTGTGGGGGTGGGGGGAAATCCAGAAAGAATCCTATTTTACATCTTATCAAATAGAGTGAAGATTAGCTTTCAAAGTGAGTGGCTACAGAAATGGAAAATCAAAATCCTCAGTTTTACATGGAATGATCAAACTCACAGACCAAGCAGACTGCCCATTATCAAGTTGATCCTGAATCCTAGCAACCCCAGGAAACTGTTTTGGAGGCTAAATCTGTGCAAGAGCAGACAAGCAGCTTCTCGTTCAGATGCAGGAGTTAATGGGCTTGAACCATTGACTTTGCAGTTAGCAGCCCAGTGCTAACCTAAACTACACCAGGGCTCCTTACAGAAAAATGAGACCCCCCAAATCCAAAGCACTTTTGAAAAACAGCAGCAAAGGAACCTCACTTTTGACTTTAAAACATATTCCACAACTACAATAGTCAGCCAGCACTGGGTTAATGTCAGACACATAGACCAATAGAAAAGAATTGAAAACTCAGAAATAAATCCAAACATCTCTAGTCAGTTGATTGTCAACAGGCAATTCAAACTTATTTAATGGAGCAGAAATAGTCTCGAGTAAATGGTGCTGGCAAAAGTGGATTTCCACATGCCGAAAAATGTAATAACTCATACTTCACACAATACATAAAAGGAATTCAAACTGGCTCAAGGATGTAAATGTTAAACTTACTCTGCAATAAAAATGAGTTCCCCTCAATATCTTAGATTTACAGGGGTCCTGAAACTTTTTAAACAGAGGACCAGTTCACTGTCTCAGACCCGTTGGAGGGCTGGACTATAGTTTAAAAAAAAAAACTAAGAACAAATTCCTCTGCACACCGCACATATCTTATTTTGAAGCAAAAAAAATGAGGCAAAAACACCTGGCGGGCCGGATAAATGTCCTCAATGGGCCACATGTAGCCCGCGGGCCGTAGTTTGAGGACGCCTGTTAGAACATGGCTAAAGCTGGAGGATGAGTTAAATAAGTCAGTAATCCCCTTCCCCCCCAAAAGTATGTTCTCACATTTATGAAACCATGAATAGGTAAATATGCAGAAAACATGTTAGTTAATGGTTACTAGGTAGTTGTTACGAGGGGATTAACTCGCACTTGTTATTTTTGGTAATGAGTAGATCACAGTAAATGAGTACAGTGTACACAGCATTATCAAAGGCAGACACTGTCAGTAAAATGCGTACAAGACAGAAAGACCTGTGACCAAGTCCACTTGGTGGAGAAAGAAGAGTTTCTCCAAGAAATAGTGCTGGGGAAAATTGGATTTCCACATGCAGAAACATGAAACAGGATCTTTACCTCACACCATACACAGAACATCAAAATGGATTCAGGACTAAATTTACAAACAAAATATATGATTATCACATGAAGAAGCAAGGGCAACACTGAGGCCTGGTTTTCAACAATATTATTTAATAACAGCACAAATAGGAAAAGGCAAAATAAATGTGACTTCATAAAAAGAGAACACCTTTATTCACCAGACTTAGACCAAAAGAGTGAAAAAATTAGGAACCCTGGTTGTGTAGTGGCTTTGCACTGGGCTGCAATGTGGAAAGAGAAGCTACCAATGGGGTCAATGTCTTCAGAAACCATTTTTATGACAATCCAATAGCAAAACATATGAATAATTTTGTTATGAATTAGACAACCCATTCAGGACAAGAGAAAATAGACATTTCACCAAGTAGTATATTCAAATAGCCAACAAATGCATTAAAAGATGCTCAAAAGATGTTCAGCAACATTAGCCAGGAGATGTATATCAAAACCACAAAGTATTTCCTTCCCATTAGGATGGTTAGAATTAAAAGGAAAAGTGAGTATGGGGAACTTGGAGCCTTCAACTGATGCTGGTGGGAATGGAAAGTGATGTAGTCATTGTGGTAAACATTGCAGGTGTTCCTTCAAAAACTGAAAACTGCCCTGTGACCCAGAAATTCCCCTTCTATGTATATAGCCCCCAGATGGACAGTGAAGACCTGTACACCCTTATTAATTGCAGCACTGTTCACAATAACCCAACAACCTAAATGCTTATCAAATGGGTTAACAGAAGGTGGTGCTTGTATACAACGGAACACTATTCAGCCAGTAGGAGAAATGTTACCTGTGGCACTATGGGTGGAACTTAAATATGATACATTAAGCCAAATAAGCCAGTCATAAGTGGAAAATATTGTGTGGCCTGTTTACCAAGGAAAGGCAAATGTAAAGAGACCAACGTTTATGATTGCTTGCCAGGGCCTGGAGGGAGAGGAGGTGGGGAGTTTGAAAGTCATGGGAAGGTCATGATGAAGGGTAAGGTTGTACACCTGTGATAACTTTAATTGGCAAAAGTTGCACGTTTACAGTGACAAAGTAGCTGCTGCTTCTGCTTATGTACAGCCAAACTGAGTTTGGTTCCCTGGTTTGGAGGTTTGGAAATCATGATTTCACTGGGACATTTCAGTAAATTGACCTAACGATGTATTGGATGCATCTGTTCCACCTAATTGTGCAGTATTTAGGGTCTGAAAACATGTAAATAGCCATCCAAGGCACAAGAGCCAGCTTCTGTACTTCTAGAACGGGTGGGGAAAGTCTAGCCCCTGGGCTGGATAAACCAAAAAGTTAAATTAATTGCCACAGCTATAATGGTGCTCTAATACATATCCAGGTGACCCCTGGCTGAAAAAAGGTTCCTCACCTCTGATCTAGAACAACAGGGGAAGGTGGGCAGTGGAAGAGGCTGAGGAAACAGACTGTGGCTCATTGCTTCCATTACCAAGGGTCTCCTTGGCCATGAGAGCAGGCAGGATGGGTGGCGAGTCATCATTGGGGGTCTCAGCCACCTTCACTGAACACTTTGATCAAAGATTTTATAAATCCTGATCAGAAAGGATATACCGAACAATTTCAAATTCTCATGGACCCTAGACATTCCAGTCCTGGAGAATGGGTGAACCCCAAATTTCCCTGAGTTAATCTTTAAGATCATATCAGAACACCCGTTATCTTAATCTGCCTGAGCACCATGCTCTTTTAAGACTGGTATCAAGTTGACAACAGCAACCTGAAAGATAAAAGACCTTAGGAAGTCGGAAGTAGCTCAGAAAAGTAGGTGAGAATGGTTGCAAAACTGGGAGAATATTCAATGTAGCTAAATTGTAGACATTGGATTGGTGTGTTTTGATTGTATATTCTCAAAACAAAAAATAAATTTAGAGGAAAAAGGTGACCTCTAGGTATCTACATATATAATTTTGAAAAACAAAATTATGTGTGAATTGTGTGTGCGTTAGATGTGTATATATATGAGTATATATGTAACTGCATATATTCGTGTATATATAGGGCATGTAGACAGCATAGTTATGAATACTACTTAGACATACCCAAACACCTCATTGGATTGTTTTTGTGGGGTGGGGTGGGTGGGTTTGAAGAATTAGTGCCATAGTCTTGTGGGACATCTCAGTCAATAAAATTGTGTGATTTTATACTATTTGTACCCTAGTGTGATAAGTAGCATTTGAGGTCTTAACAGTTAGTGAGCAACCATCTAAGAGAAAACTATTGGTCTCTACTCAGAGCAAAAAAAGCAGGAAACCAAAGCTTCAAAAACTAGTCTACATGACATAGTTTCTGTAAATCCACAGCCTGAAGGCTGGCCTCATCTCTCCTTGCCATAATAGATGAGCCCTGATAGACTACAGAAAGATTTAGAATAGCGCCTCTATTTCTTCAAAGAAAAAGGAAAATTAACCAGACTTAGTAGACTGGTTGAGAGGAAGACTCCTAGAAGTTATTATCCCAAGATACTCTTCAATTCTTGAACTAGAATTAACCCCTAAAGTTACCCTGTAGCTAAATATCAGATTGACTGAATAGTGCCCATGTGTATCGTGCTCCTTTAAAAATTCAGCTACCAAATGATCTACACTTAACTTGAAAATTAAAATGAGAATATAAGGAAAGCCGAGAGACTAATTAAAATGTAGCCAGAATGGAAATGAGATTGATTATGCATGCTGTGTGAAGGAGGTAATTAATTTTGACTGAACGATTTTGTAGAAATTGTTGAATGGGAACCTAAACTGTATACACTATCTTCGTGGAAAATACAATAAAGTATGGTATTTTAAAATGTTTAAGGTGAAACAAAAATTAGGGGGGGAAATGAGTACAAGTGTGTGTCAAAATGAATGGATTGAGTCCCCTGATGATGTCTCTGGTGAGGGAATTTGGGGATTCTTTTATTCTATACAATAGGAGCCCTGGTGGTGCAGTGGTTTCAGATTGGGCTGTGATCCCCGTGGTCAGTTTGAAACCACCAGCAGCTCCGTGGGAGAAAAGCCTGGGCTTTCTACTCCTGTGCACAGTTACAATCGCAGAAACCCTCAGGTGCTCCTGTGAGACAGCATTTAATCCATGGCCGTGAATTTTATATAAAATTCTCAGTGGCCCAATTTGGAAACAAGGTCTCTGTTACAGGATTTCAACACTGGGAAGACAAAAAAGGAGACAAGCAAATATCTTTGCTTCTTGTTTGAGAAAGTAAACTAGGACTATTAACCAGGAAGGGCTTGAATAGAGCAAAGTGAGGGGAGTGGGCCCCTGTGACATGCGGAGGCAGATGGGGAGGGTCCCGGGAAGTGGAGGCGGACACTCAGGATCCCTGCCTTACGAAAGGCTGCTGCCCGCTAGTGCCTCGCAGTGGAAATTGGGTATCTGCAGGGCAAGAAAAGAAAATCTGGCAATATCTGCCAGTCTCCAAAAGAAACTTCCTGTGGCTCTGGATGCTTCAGGTCCTGAAGTGAGGAAGAAGCCCTTGGGAGAGCATTCAGGATTAGCTTCTCCTGGGAGAGTGAGGTTGTGTAAAAGAATCTCGGACAGCAGACAGTTCTTCAAGCTGGGAGTAATGGGAACGTTTGGGGGTGGTATTTGGGGAAGGAAGGTTCAAATTGGGGAAAAGAAAAAAATAGTAAGGAGCCTTAGAGATTTATCCAGAATTTCTCCTTTCTGTTGATAGGCTTGGATTTGTAAAGTCTTATGTGCATGTAGTGCTTCCGTTCTCAGCTAGGACTCAATCTCCAGGGCCATACAGTCCAAAAAAACCCCACCCCTGGCAATTTTAAGGCCTCTTGAAAGACTTTCCCCGGAAGACTGATAGAATGCCTAGCATGGTTTTGACGGGGTTTTGTCCCCAACCACATAACGGGCTCTCCAGGGGTTGGTAGCGTTTCCTTTTTCCATCTGTACATTCCGATGGTGAGCTCAACCTTTATAAGAAACTGAAAGTGAAAGCTTCAGACGCTCATGTTTCTGTCTCCAAGCCAGAACGCCTCCCAACTTTCCTGTGTAGTTATCTACTTGATGAAGTTACTTTAGGATCTCCCGGACATTTCAAAGCGAACAACTGTGAGGATTTAGCAGGACCGGACGGTGGTCCGTCATGTTGTTAGTAGGGTCTCAGAACTGACTAGAAGGCACCTAGCAACATTGGAAACTGAAGTCCTTTGGTTTTCCTCCAAGTCGCTTCCACTTGCCGCCTCCTCGCTTTGTTAAAATGACCAAACCCAACCCATTATCATCCAGTCCCTTCAGATCCTAATCAACCGCTGGTGGTCCATTCTTATGGCAACCGACAGCATCATCTGTCTGCCCAGGAGAGGGCTGCTGGTTTTGAACCGCCAGTCTTGCAGTTAGTCCATAGTGCAACAAAGATCCCATAGGGACAGATCCACCTTTATGTTGCTCTTGGCAACGACATTCACGGA